TAATGCTGGCGAATAAATAGCAAGTGTGATGATTATATGCTTATTGCAAAGTGTGATTTAACTAATGTACTGTGATAAGTAATGTGTTTTAATGTAAGATGGTGATTCAAGAGAAGTACTATTGTATGTCTTAAAATGAAGAAAGGGTGTGCGTGCTACATTTGGACAGTAAAAAGGACAAACTGTACTTCTGCAAAACAGAGGAACAATATTAGAAAAAAGGAGAAGTGTGGCTTTTGTCTGGAAAGTCCCAGAGGCCCAGTGGTAGAGACGAGTTGGTTTACCTCACCACGGAAAGTCCCTGAGAGTCCTATTACAAGAATCAGCAAAATTACTTCACTCTGGAAAGTACACAAAACGTCCAGTGTTGCAAAACCCCAGCCTATCACAGGATGGCAGGAAGTGGGGTAAGATGGCCCAAAAACAGTATAAAAAGGGAGCAGTTTCAGCAATAAGTGGTCTTCTGGCCCCATCTGGAGAAGAGGCAGCAAAGGCAAGGACGGCCTAATTCAATTCAAAATTCAAATTCAAAAATACTTTATTGATCCCAGAGGGAAATTAGGTGTTGTTGTAACTCATTTAACTAAAGAATTATTGTAGATGCTGATGACTGTGGGCAGGAAAGATCTTCTGTAGCGGTCTGTATTACAGCGAAGTTGAAGAAGCCTYYRACTGAAGACACTTTGTCTTTCTATGACAGTCTGATGAAGAGGATGGTCAGGGTTGTCCACAATGTTCTTGATTTTATGTAAAATCCTTCTTTGCACCATCANGGAAGTGCTGGGAGTGGCATCAAGTGCTGGGCCGGATGTCTGTGGCATATAGGCAATTATGAACTCTCATTTTCTGACAGGAAATTCCCACTGGAGGGTTGTTCTAGTTTTTAAATGTATGGCTTGTAAATGGGAATTCCCACTTCCCAGTGCAACTGGGCTGCAGCAAAAGTAGCCGGTGAAAATGCAGCTTAATGGARATTTTATGCTGTAAATTTCACCAGCTGCCAGTTACTTTTGAACCCTGTAGACCTCTACCTAGTGCTGGGAGTCCATCATTTTGAATCTAAAATAATCAGCATGCATTATGGGAGATGTAGTTCTTCTTTTGTTTTTATTGGCGGTTGGCAGACTGTTTTAGTGCATTACCGCCACTACTAGACTAGAGGGTGGAACTGGAGAAGGCAGGCAAGAAGGAAAATAATTAAAAATAAACTATATTCGACTAAATAAACTTGTTGACTTCAATAATAAAATAACCTTACTGTATATGCTGGCAGATTTATCCTCCAAAAGCACAGATAATGTAAAATTCTGCTGTTTTTCTTTACTTAATGACTTAAAGATTATCCCTGTGTTTGCTATATTTGTTACAATGAATCAATACATGATCCACTGTCTCTGGCTGATTACTGTATGTACATGTTCCTGTTGGATGTTTACCTATTTTATATAGAGCACTGTTTAAACCTGAGTGTCCTATTCTAAGCCGAGTAAAGACATTTTCTTCTTTTTTATTCCATCTTGTTTTCCTTCCTAACCCCACATGTTTTGTATGTTGTATAAATGTCTTCCAGTTTCTTGTAAATCCCAGTAATCTTGCCATGCTGTTTGTGTGAATTTCCTAATGAATGGTTTAATTTCTGATTTACTCAATGAGACTTGTAGTTCTATGGACTTTCTCTTTAAAACCTGTTTTGCTCGGGTATCTGCAACTTCATTTCCTTCTAMAMCTACATGTGCTGGAACCCAAAGTAATTGAATCTTTACACCCTTAAGTTCAGTTCTATACATTGCGATGTATATTTCATTAATGATATCTGTTCTACTTGATTGGAGAAGTAGTTTATGGTCAATCCTGGAAAGAAGGGTATGCTTATTTTAAGACTTTAATACATCTTTGAAGCTCTTGCGAGCCACATTAAATGCAGTGGTGGTTCACATTTGGCCCACAGGCCTTGAGTTTGACACGTGCCAGAGAGGGTTAAAGATTCAGACAATACAAAAAGACGATTGAAACCATAGGCTGAAAATTAAACATGTAGATTTTCCTGTTTTTTTTTTTCTTCATCAAACCTTCTGAGTTTCCCTAAAGATGTTCTTCTGACTTCAGTTCTCACTGAGGTAAAAACAGACTCTTGTTTTTGGGTTCTGCCAGTTCTTTACTGACAGTCTTGAAATAAATCGGTTCACCCGCAGGCCTTGATAGAGATTTTCCATCAAGCAGACTCAACAGGAGGAAGAGGGGGACCGTTTTCTATCCGAGGGGGGCTTCACCACAGGCCTGGCTGCAGTGGTTATAGACTYCTGTGTGAGTGATGACTCCGTCTGACAGAGGGCCAATGTTCCCGGGGCCCCGGGATTGGCTCYAATGCGGCGAGGCGAGCTGGAAAACAGAATCGAGCCCCCGAAGCTCMCTCCTGCTCGTATATCGTCTTTATCAGCGACCCTCCATGCTGGATGGGGAGTATTTTATGGTAGCTCCACCTAAATCACCTGATATCATCAAGTGGAGTCAGCAGTGCGAGGTAAGAGGAGAATATCATTGTTTTTATTTTTATCTTTTAGAAATGCAGGGTTATTTTTTATTAGAGCGTACTTGGCTTATATRGATTTGTACCCCTCCCCTTTCAAAAATAAAAAAATATATAAATGGACATCATGTTTGATGTAATATAAAGTGAGACCTTCAACATGTTGAGGATGACTCAGTTACCACCACACCTAATTGAGCCTTTTGAGTCACATAATTTAACTTGATTGAGTTATAAGGTCAATGAGCTGTGGATTGACCATCCAGTGATTGCTTCCGAAGAGTTTTGGTAAAATTCCTGTATTKATAAATGAGATATTTTGCTAACAGACACACAAACACAGGCAATACAATAATAAAAATGTTTTAAAAGTGTCAKTTTTTAGGCTTAAAACAACTACTGTAACTACAAAGGCAATAAGGAGCATTATAAGTAAACGGGTTCAGTCTATTTTAGTTTTAGTTTAGATAGTGTTTATTTTCATATGTGTCATGCACCCCAACAGGTGCGCAGCCCACACAGGCTTACAAGACACAATAAAATGTATACAAGTGGACAGACATAAATATTCTTTAAACAAAAAGTGTCCKCTTCCTGAGGTGCCAGGCCTTTTAAAATGAACTGAGCTAACTGAAACACAAAATAACACATTTTATCTTCATCGGGTAAAAAAATACAAAGGACAGTAAAAAAAAACAGTGCATCTTGCTCTCAGTTTCCATCTTTGTGTGAATTCCCCAAAACCCAAGGGGGAGAGGCAAAGTGCCAGATCTAAATTGGGCACACAAGTTCCATGATGCGTATGGCTCAAGAAAAGACCGTAGGCATCCTTTATTAAAATTCAGGTACATAATTTTGGTTTATGTAAAATATCAACTGCCCACTTATGATTATAAACTTCAAAATAAAACTGTTTAATCCATTCAATATTACATCTGAATTATTTTGATAAATGTATTGAAAATCTGCTTCTTCAAATATTTTCTCAGTTTGTCTGGCCCAGATATCCCAATAAAAATGTTTTGTTAATCTATGATCTGACATATTGATGAACCTGTTCCACAGTCTTACCATATCTCCGATATATCTAATTTCACATGGTTCCCATCTCATAGCTCCATATAATGCCAATTCAGGAGTATTTCTATAATGCAGGGCTCTGCACTGAACTTTCTCACTGTAAGGTTGTTGATAGTAGCCCCAGACTCCCGCTCCGTAATCTAATACTGGACAAACACAAGATCTGTACAATTCAGTATGTCTTACATTATAGCCCAGATCACAACAATATTCAACTTTTTTATAAGTGCACCTAGAGCTCTACCAGCTGAGTCTGACTGAAGTTTTATTCCTTCTTCAAATGTTAAATATTCATCCACAATAAATCCCAAATATTTATATAATAGACTGGTAGGCCCAGAACAAAATATAAATGTTGTCAATGCATAACTCCACTTTTTGAAATGAATAAATTCAGTTTTATCACAATTCATCTTTAACCTCATTTTGCCATAAATAATAGTTAACAGTTTCTGAAGATCAGGTTCTTTATAGTCATTTTGTGTTGGATAATGTCAAATGGCTGCAGTGGTCAATCTTTGTTTGAGTTGGCTCTAAATGTCAGTCAGTTGCAGATTTTACTTGAATGATTAAATTTTCCAAAAAGAGGAGATTCTTAACCTGTGGGCCGCGGCCCA